AGTCAAACCCTCCTATTTATAGAAAAGGGAAACCCTAATTTTTCCCCCCAAAAGCAATTTGAAAATCCAACCAGTCATAGGAAGACACCTGTCACAGGTGCCACGTGCAATGCACGTGACCCCTGTGAGGGGCAAATGATTTGGGTATTTTTACCCGGCCAGGTGGCCCAATCAGAAAATGCCACGTGTCCTCAGTAAAGGTGCCATTTGGACCTATGAGATGATGACACGTGGAGGGCAGACATTCCTCTGCCCTAAACAGAGTGATGATCCAGCATGGATTAATCGGAAGGTGACGCGTGTCATCCTAAAAATTGCCCCAAAGGCCTTTTGGGCTCAGTGACACGTGTCACTCAGGCATTGCCTCTGGAATGGCGGCCTTCAAGGGCCCAAACCTTGAGGCGCCGTTTTGCGGAGTGACCTAATCCCTAGGTCACCAGATCCTAGGGAGGGCACACTATCCAAAAGGACCCTATAAATAGGGACATTCTCGCATTTATGACAGGACAGGAATATACACGCAATACGAGACAATACGTCACTTACTACAGAGTTGTCATTTTCAAAGAACAGACATCACTTTACCTGAGCTTGGGATCCGAGCAGATAACTTTACTTCCGCACGTTTTATTACCGAACGCTTACTAACTTAATCTTCGGAGGCGGACCACCGACCATCCGGCGGTCCGTTTGCTTTGCAGGTACAGGCGTCCATTGCTGAATCCAGTCTCAGTGTTGTAACTCTCCCAAGGGACAAAAAACCCCGAAACACATATTATATGGTCAAACAAGAGTGATGAATAGTGTAAAAAGTCCATTGTTACAATATTAATAGAACGGAGGAAGTATTCGCTTTCTGTTGTGCTTCCTTTCTTTGGTTTTATGCCTCATATGAATTTTTAAAAAAAAATACATATTCTTTAATAATTAAAAATTTTCACTAAATTTCTTAGTGATGTTATTGACCTTATTGTTATGATATTCATCAATAGTGGACCACGTATAAGATTTTAACTTTTTCAAAATTCAAAAGAGACTCGAACTCAAAACACTACTAGGACATTGGACATATATGTACATTTTTTTAAGGACCACTATCTAATGTTTCACTTAGGGCCCATACAAAGGATTGTCAGTTTGTCATTACAAGATTTGCAACACTTACTTGAAATTTTTTGGCCTGACTCAAATTTACCCGAATAGAATCCCTAACTTGAATTGAATTGATTCTGGCCAAATTAGTAAAACCGAATTGAAACAATCTAAAAGATAGATAAACAATGTTGTAAATGATATTCAATCTCAGGTTTTGGGCACAATCCCATATCACTTTAACCTAATAAGCTAATTGGCATCCACACGATAACTCAATCATGTCTCTTGTAACACTTGTTTGAGTTGTCTCTCTTTTGTTCATTACTTGAGAGTTGGACTAAGAATAATTCAAACTTGACTTATTAAACTCTTAAATCAATTTAAGCTCGCATGAACTTAAGAGTGTCAATTCGGATAATTGGATCGAGTCTGATATGGTCAGATCGGGTCGGGTCAATGTTTAAAGTTAAGTCATACTAAATTGTTATGTCCACGCGAGTCTTAATCTGAATCGGATATTTTTCGGATCGGTTTTAGATCGGGTCGGGTGTGTTTTTGACACCTCTACATGAACTAGCCTTGATTGAGCTCGTTAACATATTAACAAGTATTATAAATTACTAAAACTGTCTAGACAACATAAGGTACAACTATATAAATTGGGATTATCTGCATTAATGAGTTAATGACAATATCAAACCAAAAATCAAAACTGCCTAAACCCGCACTAAACTCGAATTGACCCGACTTAAACTTGATCCAAATGACCCTATTGCCTAAGTCTGCCACAGGCTGTGGTCCTCTACAGCATACTTACAGATTCAGATCCCAATTTCGAACCTAAGAAAAACCGGCCAACACTTCTCTTTTCTTCCTAAATTTCTGCATTTATGCTAAAACCCCTAAAACCCCAGTAGCACTCATTTACTCCAATATACCCGATTCAAAAGTTCTTCCCAAGCATCCACCTTTCAGTGATTTGTGGGCATACATTTTGCCAGGTTTAATGATCTTCCACCTTCTTCTTGTTTTTTACTCATTAATGGAATATCTGTATGCTTGATGTTCATTGTTAATTTGCTAATTTTGTTCTTGCTTTACCCATTTTTGTGATTCGTTATTTTCATTAATTTGTTGGTATTTGATTGTTAAATTTTGCTCCTTTACTAATTTTATATGGGTTTATTGATGTTGCCAATTTCATGCATATTTACTGTTCGATGAAATGCCCAAGAGAATCGACGTTTGGTTGAGTATTTGATGTGATTGTTTGCTTTTGTTGTAGGAAGCTATATGTTTGCATGAAGTTCATTGGTGGTTAAATATGAAATTTTTTTGTATTTACCAATTTTCTATGGGTTTTTAATGCTTTTGTTTTACGATGTCTGAAGCATCTGCTCCTATGCTTATTGCAGGAATGTGGGGTTTGATGATCTGATTCAATATTCTTCTTCAGTAAATCGAGTAATTTTGAGTTGTCTTGAATTTTTAAGGAAAAGTAAGCTATGGGGAAGTAAGCTTTAGCAAAATTTTGGCAGTCATATTCTTGCTCTTCATTGTGTTTTTTTGCTCTCTCGGCCCTTGTAGTAATTAATAGGATTATGCGATGGAGGAATTACTAAAGAACCCGGTATTTGCAAGCCATCTTCTTGCTGCTTCAGGTTCTGTGGCAATAGGCACTGCTCTATCTTATCCTCTCGACACTGTCAAAACTCTCATCCAAGTTGGTGCTAGTTCCAGCAAGAAGTTAACTGCCACTCAGGTTTTGGAAAGGGTTAAATCTGTATCGGGATATCCAGGTCTGTACAGCGGTATTGGTTGGCTAACTGTGGGAAGAATTGCAGGTCTGGGTGCTCGATTTGGGGTCCATGAATTTTTGACAGCCTTTTATAAAGATGGTCGGATTGATAACTATGTTTATGTTTCTGAAGCCCTTTTATCGGGAATGATATCTGGGGCCTTAGAGTCTTGCCTGAACTCTCCATTTGAAATGATAAAGCTTCGGAAACAGGTTGCTGCAGCTATTCCTATACCTAGCACAAGTAATGCAGCTACAAAATCTGCTGCAGCTCCCATGATGTCAAGGTTACTACCTGGATATATTCCCAATAGTTTGGCATTGGATCGTACTGTCAACTTGTTATCTGTTTTATCTTCAAAAAATCATAACATGGCCGAGGCCTTGAAAAATTATCCATGGATGATGACTGGCTCTGGTAAGCCACCTGATGTCACTGATGTTAGACGGCCGCAAGACATTGTCAGATTAGAAGGATGGCGTTCCCTTTGGAGAGGCCTTCGAACAGGTATAGCACGTGATTCTATATTTGGTGGCGTTTTTTTTGGCAGCTGGCAATTTCTGCATCTAGCAATGCTTGATTGGAAGGCTGTTGGGATGGATCCTCCTCCGGAAACAAATGATGAAATTGGCCCTTTGTCTCCTTTAGTTGTTAGCCTGTCAGCTGGGTTTTCTGGGTCAATGGCTGCTGCTGCTTCTCATGGTTTTGATACCTCAAGAACCCGTTCTCAGTGCATTGTGCTACCCAAGTATCTGGCTAAGGAGAGGAAGTATCTAAAATGGAGCCGGCCTGGGAATTGGTTTGAGAGATTTTCTGGGATGCATCCGTCAGATCGCAATCTTCTATTCCGGGGTATTTCTACGAGGATGGCTCGGAGTGGTTTGGCATCATTTTTCCTAGTAGGGACTTACTATATGGCTGTTGACTACCTTATTGCTAAGTCATAATACCTTGATTATGGAATACAGGAATACAAGCTATGGAGCTATGCTTCTAAAAGATAATCTAGAGATCGTTTCTCTGTCACAATATGTGACCTTAAGACATACCAGGAAGAAAAAATTCAGTAAATCTTGCAATTTTTTTTACAGCTGGAGAAAAAAAGAAGCTGTTTCTTAGTCACGATTCGCCAGATATTTTGCTAATTTATTTTGGTGACAAGTTCCTTTAGGTACCTGTATTGCCTAGCTATCGGTGACATAAATTATTAATTTGCTTTGTGCTTTCAAGTAAGCTTAATACATTTACATTGGTATTTTGATAAACAGATGTTCCAGATAGTTGGAAAGTCATTGAAATTGTTGTATAAACAATAAATTGAATTATCGGGTTTCATTACATCATGATTTCATTATTCATGTTTTAGCTTTGACAACTATCCTGGATTGATATAACGCTCTCTGCTGGGCATTTGCAGCTCCTTCTTTCTGTTGTTATCTGTAGGAAATGGGATTTAGTTTATTGAATAACTATACCATCGTAGATAAGTGCAAGTGTGCAACATTTTTCTTGGCTTGCATAGGCAAGGTGAGCATAGTATGGAGAGCATTTTGAGCTTACATTGAGATTATGGATTTACTTTCTTATAGGTCTAAAGAATTGTTATTGAATGTTAATAACATTATTGGAAGTAGGTGGAGAGAGATAACAACAATAAAAAAAGATAAAATGTTATGATATTGAAAGATATATATAACTGATATAATGGAGTGATGCAAGGGAGCTTTTTTATTTTTTATTTTTATACCATTAGCTTTTACTTAAAAGGAAAGAGAGTAATGTGAAGTTTATTTGTTTGTGATGGGGGGAGTATATGCCATTTGTTATTTTTTAAGACTCTAAGAGTGCTGAATACATCTCTACAATTGCATTTTTTTTTTCTTCTCTTGAGAATCTGGCATGAATGAAACACATTTGAGTTACATTGTATCTACCTGTTATCTTTTGTATCCTAATTTTCAATATTTCATTGACTAAACAGTAAGATCTCTTCCTTATTGAGGATCTAGGGCTTTTGTATATACCATGGAATATGCCTAGATGCTTTGAATTGTTTCATATATTTGTGCTTTCCCAATTCGATTGCCTTATACTTTATCCCAATTTGCAAACCTTGGCTACAACTTTCACTCTCTCATTCGCTATTGAGAATTGTAGGTTGGATCTCATCGTTAACTGGTATGTGCTTCTTTCCCCTGCTGTACTGCAAATATCATTGGTGATGCTAGTATTGTTACTTGCATTGTTATTTATCTCGTTGTATTGTACTTGATCTGAAATTAATCAAACAGCATGTTTGTCTAATTGCCTCACTACTCTATTAGTGATTCCCTCTTACTCTTGTGTCATTTTTGTTTCCATCATTTGGGTTGTCATATATTCTTCTGTTACTTATGTTGCTGAAGTTTTGGATGTATGATTAATAGTCAAGTTTCTTATTATATGTTCCTATAGAAAATAAATGTAATTAAAATGACATTCTCTATAGAAAGCTCAGATATGTTTCATATGTAGAATTATCTTTTGCCCCACCAATGTACGTATAACGTATTCTTTCATATTTTGGTGAATTTTTTCAATCTACTTTTATCAAATATCCTCATAGAAGTCTCAGCTACAAAATTAGCAGAATGCCAGGGTTCTAGAAAGAGTGTCAGGAGAAGCAGCAAAATTGTTCTGTTTCGTTTGTCTTAATTTATTATTTTTGTTTTCTTTCTAACAATTTTTGTTTCCATATAATTCAGCTTCAAAGATGATTTTGAAAGCTATATACAAGTACATTCTTTTGATATGTTTCCTTCTGTCAAGTTTTGAGGCTGCTTCTCTTGAATTTTCGAGGAAAGGTGGATCAGAATCTGCTGTAAAGACAATTAAGGTGGAAGTTTTGCACTTATTTCTATAAAACTTGGTTAAGGCGTCTCATTCTTTAGATAACTGTCATTTATTTTAGCTGGATGGTGTACAGACTGTGTATGGGGATATATATGATTGTATAGATTTTTACAAGCAGCCAGCATTCAATCATCCTGTCTTAAAAAATCATACTTACCACCCGCAGGTGCTTTTCTATCTTAGTTGCTGCTGTCCCACTTCCTCCATATTCAATTTTCTATTGACTTCTCCATATTATATTTGTGCAGACGAAGCCTACTGCTAGGCCTAAACAGATCCAAAACAGCAATATCTCTTTGATGATGAATGAAAGACCAACTGACGTGTTCCTGTTAAAGGATGGAGGCTGCCCTCCAGGGACAGTTCCCATTAGAAGAGTCAATGAAAATGATGACCTTTCACAAACCAATGTGCTTCCACACCAGTCTGTGGAAGGAGTGAACCCCAATCGTGGAACTGAATACATATCTGGAACTGTTGTAAGTTTAAAGCTGAAATATAGGGAAATCAATCAATTGATCACTACTCATTTCTATCCAAATATGCATATCATCTGCATAGTGTTCAAGTGTGTCTAGGTCTTTTCACAGAGGTTTACAAGAATTTTTACACCCCTTCCTCCTCTATATCACCCAGAAAATGAAAATTGTCCGTCCACGTTTTATTTTACTTCTTCTGTGACTTTATTCCCTTAATATGATTACTATTTTTACAGTATAATGCTATTGTTTAGACTTTAAACTTTTTTATAACTATAAATCTATCATGCTTTTTTAGGCAAGGGTATGCCAAATATTTAAACAACTAGATGGAAATTACTATATGGTCCTGTTTTTTCTTTTGCTTGATCTTTTGTGTTCTTTTATGCTTAATTAGCATGGGATTTTTCCTTCACCTTGTTGGATGTGGAAATTTATCTGTTTTGTATTGTACTTTGTGATTTAGTATGCACTTGGTCAAACAAAAAGCAATCCTTCGAAGAGTTATTATGGAGTTGGTGGTGTTTTTAGTGTTTATAACCCAAGAGCTCTACCATCCCAGTACAGTTCAGCGGAAATCATTCTCAGGGGTGGTAGTGATACCATAATTGCTGGGTGGACGGTAAGTGATCTGATTTTGCATTAAATTGTTTGTTATTTGTTATACATTTCCTTTTGAAGCTTTTACTTAGCTGGTTAAGGAGGACATCTGCTTGCACCATCTAGCAGAAGAAAAAGAGGTGAATCTTCTTGTTTATTTGTATTGCAGAGATTACAGGAGCTGTTTTTTTCCTTTTGCTTGTTTCCCAGGTTAATCCATCCAAGTACAAAGACAACCGGACAAGGTTCTTTATATATGCAGTTGTAAGTCAGGGCTGACATAACTAATCAAATTTTTTTATTCAAATGACGAGAAGTCACTTTTTGACAGAAAAAGATTCTGTAGGAGTATGTTAACAAAGTCCACTCTATAGATTAATAGATTATAATGGCATGAAGAAAAGTATGCTGATATTAAAGAATTCATTGTCCAAATTGCTAAATTATTCTATAAACATTTCCACAGGCAGGTGATTTACGCTGTTTCAGTTCTGAATGCGGGTTTGTCATTGTCAGATCAGATATCCCTATAGACTTTGCCTTGCACCCAATATCAAAAAAGGGAGAAAAAGTTTACATAAACAAGTTCTTTGTTTATCAGGTGAATTTCCAAATTAAAACACTTTGTAATTGTATGGTAAGAAACAGGCTGCATTATTGGTGTTCAATGTGAAAACTCTTTGTTCCTTTTCTGATTTCAGTTTTAAAGAATTTGTAATTTTCTAATTGCCATATTCCAACCATATGCAATAGGAGAAGCCTTCTGGAGATTGGTGGCTTGAAGTGGGAGCTACACATCCAGTTGCGCTAGGGTTTTGGCCACAGAGGATCTTTCAAGGCCTGAATGCGCCAGCAACTTATGCTGCATGTGGAGGAGAAATAAGCTCAATAGCAACTCTGCCACCTCCTGAAATGGGAGCTGGTTCTTATCCTGAATTTGCTCCTGCTTTGCTGGTTAATTCTTATTGTAAAGATTTTGTCGTGGTGGACGAAACCTATACTGTTGTCGATGTTGCTGATTCTGAAACCTATGGAAATAACGGTAACTATGGTGTTTATGATACTCATATGAGGAATAAGCAGCATGTAGTAACATTTGGTGGTCCGTGATTTTTTAGGTACATTTTGAAAAGGAGATTTAATATCTGGGATTATTTACTTGGTTAAGATTGATGAAAAGAAAGATATGAATTTGAGCTGTTCCATAATCATCTGTTGTTCTTTTTTATAAGTGCAATATTCTTTTTAATTATTTTGCAAAATATGTCTATTCAAAAAAAAAAAAAATGTGTTTTTATAAACTACAGTTATCACCATTTATATGCAAAATATGTCTTGTTAAAAAAAAATTAATCTGAAATACAGTGTTCTCATTTATAAGATCTTATAAAAAAAAAATTATAAGGACAAATATGAAAAAAAAAAATTGTTTACGTAGACTAAGGCCCTGTTCTCTTCACCTTAAAAAATAATATTAAGTAAAAATAATTTCAGTTCAGTAAAATTAATTCCAGTTCAGTAAAAATAAGTTCAATTCAATAAAATTCAGTTTTCTTAAAGAAAAATTATAATAGAAAATCAGTAAAAATAATTTCAGTTCAGTAAAAATAATTTAAGTTCAGTAAAAATAATTTCAGTTCAATAAAATTAAGTTCAGTTCAGTAAAAATAATTTCAGTTTAGCCAAATTAAGGTGAATCAAACAGGGCCTAAATAGTACATATCATTTATTCTCTAATTGGTGAACTTATAATATTCACTCCAAAATAGTCATCAGGCTCAAAAAACTCCAAAGAACCTCCAAATTCATTGGAATGTGCCAGAATATTTCCATCTGGTACAAGGGGGAGATCCTTCCAAAAAAAAAAAAAATATTCAAGTAAAAGAACAATGTGTATACAATGAAAGAACAAGGTGTAACCATAAAAGAATGTAATATAATATAATAAAGAACAATATATACCTTAATCGTATTCTGTGCTTTTTGTTTCATCTTTGAAACACCCTTTGCGTTTTTCTTTTTCCATGACTTTATTTTGACCTTTTAGCTTGTTGGAAATCTTTTCCTGTGTGCTTTTCCACCTAATATTCTTTTGACCCTTTTTTCTTTTCTGAATAGGATCCTTAACATCAACCTCAACTGCGTGTTCTTTATCATTGCCTCCATGTTCTTTTTCAAGGCCTCCATGTTCTTTTACAGGGCCTCCATGATCTTCAGCCAATTCCTCAAAAATTACTGGTGGTTCTAATAGACTGCCATCACCTTTATCTTGAGTAATATCTTGTTCAACCATTTTTGACGACTCAAGTGGCACATCTTTATCTTCTCCCATTAAGAGCTTAATCCTAGCAGTGCATTCTTCAATTGCTTCCTCAATGACTGCTCGAGCACTCAAGTCATTATGTGCCCGATCTACAAGTGTGATAAATGTACGAATATGATACAATCTCCATACACTACAAGGAGTGACACCCATTTCAGCCACATCATTGTCATCAACTCTAGTGCACATAGCAGCTTTTGTCCATCTCTTGCAAATGTATCTCTTCGGGATATAAGTAATGTTGTTTAAGTGTAAGACACGAAGTGAGTGCTTGTACAACAAACCTACATCACCAAAATATTTGCAAGTAAAATCAACTGTAATTGTTGATTCATCGAATGCAACAGTATGCATGATCAAATCCTTTTTTGGATGCCCAACATGATATTCATAAAGAGGAGGTTGAAATCCTATTACCTTGGCCGTGCAAGGAACATCATTGACAAAATTGTCTTCAAAATGTAAATAGATTTGAATAGTATAAATCTTCCTAGCATGCTCCAACAATCCAATATCTGCCCAAACTAAATGACGATTTACAGTCATACTATCATAATCATTACTACCTTCTCTACTCCTCCACTCATCAACAACCTCGATCAATAAAAGTAGTGTAAAAATCACAGAGACCATGAGTGGCATGTAGTCGACAGGAAACTGATTTGTTCGTAGTTTCACTCCTCTGAGATGACGTAACACCACCACTAAAATAATCTTTGGAATATGCAGGACACCACATCTCTCTGATATTATATAGATTTTGCAACCATATATTATATGTGCATTTGTACATTTTCTGCATGCTGTAAAAATAAAAGAACATTATACTAAGTGCAAAGAATGTCACATATAGTAGAAAAGAACATCTGTCTATTTTAATCCAGCACATTGTGTATACTTGAGAAGAACATCAAATATATTATAAAAGAACACTAAACATGAAAATAAAAAACATTATACTAAGTGAAAAGAATATCACATATAATAGAAAAGAACATCTGTCTATTTTAATCCAGCACATTGTGTATATTTGGGAAGAACATCAAATATATTACTCCCTCCGTTTTTAAATACTTGCTCCATTTCTCCATGCGCGGAGTTTTAAGAGAAATTGGAGAAAGTAATAAAATATGGAGGTAGTGGAGTATATGAGAAAATAAAAAATTGTAAAAAGCAAAAATAGTGGAAGAATAGGAGGAGAGAGAGTATTATGTTGGGTCCAGTGTCCACTAAGTGTGAGAAATGAATTAAATATTGTAAAGGCTTTCCATTAAAGGAAATGGTGCAAGTATTTAAAAACGGCCGGAAAAGGAAAGTGGAGCAAGTATTTAAAAACGGAGGGAGTATAAAAGAACATAAAACATGAAAATAAAGAACATCATCTAACAAATTAAAAAATATTGAAGCAGTAAAATATTTAAATAACAAATATTAAATATAAGTAATTCATAGTGTTACCTTGCCCAATAGCGCTCGAATTCTTGAATAGTATATGTATACTTCAAAACAATATCAAACAAATCGTTAAAATCTTCCATTGCTCCAAGTCTTTGATATTTTTCTTTGCATTCTCCCCAATATGCCACGTACATAATCGATGCTAGGAATTTGGAAAGACAGCCTTAATTGTTTTAGCCATTGCTTGAGCTTGATTAGTCATTATTGTCACAGGATGTTTGCCACCCATGGATTTCAAAAAAGTATTGAACAACCACTCCAACGACTCCCATTTTTCATTGATCAAGAAGCCAATACCAAACATGACATTATTGTTATGATGATTCATGCCAACAAACGGTCCACAAATCATACCATATTTGTTTGTACGATACGTTGTATCATGGACTAATAAACCTCCAAAAGCATCATAATCTACCTTCATTCTATTATCACGGAAGAAGAAATATTGCAAATGACCTTTTTCATCAACATCAAAGTCATAATAAAAGTCATACTCACTGGATTTTCTCTCCTTAAAATAGCTTAGCAACCACTTTGCATCACATCCATCAAACTTCATTCATTTTCTTATGTTGAGATAAAGCACCATACGCATCCCTACAGAGAAATGAAAGATTTGCCTCTCCACCAGCTTGATGCTTTAAAACACGCACTGCATCAGCAACAGGTATACTACTCTCAGTCAAACTACTGAGCATCACAACTTGCTCATTAGTAACCTGTATACAAAAAACACATTGCTTGAAAAAAGAACATAATGTATTTAAAAAAGAACATATAATGCAAATTAAAGAACATGTTTTTAAAAAACGTTTAAAGCAATGTCCAATCATTTTAAAAATGTATCATTACCTTCCTATGAGACCTAATCAAATGTCTCTTAAAAACAGGAACCTTACTATGATTATGAACCATAGTGTGATTGACCACTACATACAAACCCGAATCCTTATCAACATAAAATTGTATATGAGCCTTGCAACCTGTGCGGAAATTCCTCTTTTGGTAAACTTTTGGTTGTTCACTAGGCTTCTTCTCTTGCTTAAAGCCAGCAAAAGAACACACCAAAAACGTTGCCTAAGTGTCCTATCTTTGTCATCTCTACGATTTAACCTATCTTTACGTATACCAAAACCATGTTTAAATGCATAACTATTATACAAATCATAAGCCTCTTCATCATACTTGACTTTTTTATCAAATAATTCTAATTCAGTTGCCTCGGTAAAACCCGAAATAGGAGATCAAAATACATATATATTAAGCTGGTGTTCTTACATAATAACATGATGTTCTTTTATATGTATAGTATGTTCTTTAATATAATTGTAATGTTCTTTATTAAATGCACATTGATAACGTCACATTAATTACAGAAAAATACAAAACAGAGTACAATAAAAGTACATGACGTTTCAAAAAAAGAACATTCCATTTCAAGAAAAGTATACACAGAGTATTACAAAGTACATATATAATTAACAAATGCACATTCATTATTAAATAAAATCAACATTGATTTCGGCAACAATGACATATAATAACAAAAATAAAAGAATATATCTAAATTGTAAAAGGACTTCATCTTCAACCTTACACAAATTATTGTAAAATTAAAAATATGATGTAATTCGATAATAAAATTAAAATTAGTAATAATAACTAAATTTAATAATCAAAATTAAGGATTAACAAATGCAAAGTATAATTGATTAAACAATTCACCTTCATTGAGGTTTACGATACCCTCGACTTCACCTTCATCTTTGATATCATCATCATTTGCATCATCGACAAATCTAGCATTAGAATCATGGCGAAATTCAGATTGATAAACCATTATTAACTTCTTCTACAAGGAATTCAATTGATCGGTTATCAAAATTCTCTCTATAATTTTCTCTCGCTAAAAAGTTCAGGATCTTTATGATTTTCTCTCTCTAACTCTTTTTTGAAAAATATCAGTTAATAAAAATTACCAAAAACTGAAAGCTATAAAATCGGCAACAATTCATCAAAATCCATGTGATATTAAACTGTCTTCAATTTTTTTTTTAATTCCTGTAATTCACAATTAACTGAATTACTCCTGCCAACTCAGCAGGTGTACCATGAGCATGGTACACCCTTGTGTACTATCAAACTTTCACCTAAACCATCAAATCTAAAGCTTTAATTAAGAAAAGAAGAGAGAGAGAGAGAGAGAGAGAGAGAGAGAGAGAGAGAGAGAGAGAGAGAGAGGGTCGGATATGGAGACAGAGAACAAGAGCGCTGGAGAGAAAGAGAGAGCACGCAACGTTGAAGGTGGTGGTGGCCGGTGACTTTGAAGGTGGTGCGGAGGAGTTTTAGGTGAATTGAATTTGGTGAGAAAATTTATGTTAATTAAGTTAAATTATTATTGTAATGAATTTTGTATGTTCCAGAGGTAGTAGTTATTGATTATTGATTCATTGGTTTATCTCCAATTAGCTGACATGTGTTAGTGTATCCATCACTCCTGCATCTCATCTAATCACTCATTAAGCACGCAAATCGACTCACTCATCTTCATAGAGCACTTGCCAAACCATAACCATGGAATGACGTCAGATAGGATCAAAATTGAATTAATGGGTACACGTCGTTAGATTTTACAAACAACCGGGTAAGCGACCGCTTCATCCAAGTTCAACCTAAATTATACTGCTACCCCAAATAAAATGATGGAAAAGACATTATTACCCCTTGATACACAAGTGATTTATCTCAGACGGATGAACTCGAGAAAATATAAGTTTATTAATCTGATAAACAAAATTGTTTATCAAATGACAAGTACTAATCAGCAACTTTTTATTAAATATAAGTCCCATTATTGTTAATATATTTACGAAAATGTCATGATGATTGGGCATTTATGTTGTTTTATTTACCATTTTACCATTTGATGGTTAATCAAGGCTTCCTCGATGAAGTCTAAGGGTCTGTTCTCATACGTTGAAATTCAGTTTAGTTCAGCTCAGTTCAGTTCAACTCAGTTCAGTTCAGCTCAGTTCAGTTCAGTTCAGCTCAGTTCAGTTCAGCTCAGCTCAGTTCAGTTCAGCTCGGCTCGGCTCGGCTCAGCTCAGTTCAGTTCAGTTCAATTCAGTCCAGTTCAGTTTAGTACAATTTAGTTCAGTTCAGTTCAGTTCATGTTTAATAATATTGTTAATGATATAAAGCCAAATTTCATTCTTTTAAGCTCTTATTACAACGACGATAATAATAATAATAATAATAATAGTAATTATTATTATTATTATAATAATCAATAAATAATAACAACAATAATAAATAAATAAATAATAATAATAAAAATAATAATCAATAAATAATAATAATAAATAATAATAATAATAATAATAATAATAATAATAATAATAATCAATAAATAATAATAATAATAATAATAATAATAATCAATAAATAATAATAATAATAATAATAATCAATAAATAATAATAATAATAATCAATAAATAATAATAATAATAATCAATAAATAATAATAATAATAATAATAATAAAATAAAATAATAATAATAATAATAATAATCAATAAATAATAATAATAATAATAATAATAATAATCAATAAATAATAATAGTATATTCTTCTTAAATATTTTAATATGTATATTTGTATATACATATATGTATAATAATAAATAATAAATAATCAAAAATCACTAATCCGTAGTTAAAAATCACTAATTAATAAGTTCAGTTCAATTCAGTTCATTTCGGTTTAGTTCAGTTCGGTTCAGCTCAGTTCAGATTATTTCAGTCGATGAGAACAAGGGTCTGTTCTCATCGACTGAACTCAGCTGAACTGAACTAAATTAAACTGAACTGAACTGAACTGAGTTGAGCTGAACTGAACTGAAATAAATATTTTATAAGAGAAGGAAATTAGGAGCTGAATTGAAATGAAATAAATATTTTATAAGAGAAGGAAATTAGAAGAGGAATTGAGGTGAACTGAACTGAACTGAACCGAGCTGAGCTGAAATGAACTAAATTTTAAGGTAAGAGAACAAGCCCTAAGTCTCAAACCCCTCGCTCACTTCAGTCAACTCTCTCTCCTCATTTTGTCTCCCGCTAAAACCCTAAACCCTCATTTTTCCAACAAAAAAAAAAACCACCATGATAACCACCGTAATCATCCGAGAATCATCCAGAACCTTCCGAAACCGCCCATCCTTCTCTCTCCTCTGGGCCCGACCCATGGGCGGCGGGCCTCGAACCTTCCCAGGCGGGCTCAACAAATGGCAATGGAAGCGCCTCCATGAGAAGAAAGCTTCCCAGAAAGAGAAGCGCCTTATTGACCATGAAAAGCAGCTTTACCAAGCTCGTCTTCGTTCCCAAATCCGGGCCTCCGTCTCGGGCTTGCCGGAGAAGCCCGAAGGCCCGTCTCATTCCCCGATGTCACCCCAGGAGCATATCAAGGCTCTTGCTGATCGGTTCATGAAACCGGGTGCCGAGGATTTGTGGAATGATGATGATGGTCCGGTACATTCGTCCTCCCGGGCCGGACCGAGTAAGCCGAATGATCCGGGTATTGATCTCAGGAAGTTTGTTAATGATGGTAATTTTCAGCAAAAGAGGGGGTTTTGTAGTCAGATTAATGATGATGGTATTGATAGTTTGATGGGTTTTAGGGGTAAATTGCAGCAAATGAGAGGGTTTTGTAAAGGGAATTTGACGGGGTTTAAGGGTAATTTGCAGCAAATGAGGGTTTTTTGTAGTCAGATTAATGATGATGGTATTGGTAGTTTGATGGGTTTTAGGGGTAATTTGCAGCAAATGAGGGGTTTTTGTGAAGGTAATTTGATGGGGTTTAAGGGTAATTTGCAGCAAATGAGGAATTACTCTGGAAATGTGAAGGGGAAAGTGAAGAAGAAGTTTTATAAACATATAAAGGGAAGTTCATCGAGTGAAGATGATGAGGAAGATTATGGGAGGTTGAGTAGTAATGCGAGCTGGCCGCGGTTTGTTTTGGAAGGGAATGAACTGGGGAGTGGGGAGGAGGGAGGAAAGGGTGATGTGAAATGTGTGAGGGGGTTTATGGGGAATGCAACTTTAGGAAAGTATGATGTGAAGGTGACGAAAAGGCGGATTGTGAAGGAGTTGGAGGAGTATGCAGAGCAAGAAGATGAAGAAGGTGATTTGGGTGAGAAAATTTATGAGATTAAGCAGGAGATCATTGAGAGGAAGCGGATGGAAGAAATTCAAGAGGTGACCGATCAGGATGAGTTTGTTGCCTCTGGAAAGAGGTGGGATTGTTATTTTGTTGGTGATATTATGCAAGGTGTTTGTCAATTGTTATTATTGATATGTTAAGTATTTGTTATTGCCTTTTTATTCGTGTGCTTATGTTGACAATTGCTGCTTATTACTTAGAGAATTTATAAACTACTGTTAGATGGTGTAATTGCTTGTATTGACTAAATGTAGTATAATTTTTAGATGTCTTAAATGGCCATATAGAAGTTGGATATGATAATCTGAGATAGTATGGGGGTCTTTAGTTGCTTAAGGATAGCTGAAGAAGGTGGATGGGTGCATTGTTATTTGATTATTCTGCTTGATAATTATATCCTTAGCTGCCTCGCATTGGTTAAATTGATGCTGTTTGTTTTTTTGCTGCTGATACGTTATGACTTTAAGAACTTCAATTGATGTACTATATAATTTTTAAGCTGTATCTTATAAGCTATATATTGTTGTTTCAGATTTGAGGACTGTGGCATTTCACCCTTGACAATTAAGGCATTAACTGCTGCTGGCTATGATGTGATGACTAGGGTTCAAGAAGATACACTGTCTGCTTATCTTGAGGGTAAGTTACTGTCAAACTTCTGTTTACGTTCTTGCTTCTGCAATTGCCAATGTGTGTGTGTGTTCAATGTAAGATAACCGAGGGACTTGCTGTGCCTGAGCTCTGCCATCTCTTGGATTGATTTCAGCCAAATCTTCCTGCCCTGGTCTATTCTTAGACTATTAGAGCCGTTAGAGGCATTGGTTTAATTGTATTGAGGAGTGGTGGGTAGATGTCTGTATTACTTTTATTAAGGTCTTATATTCCATTATTTTGACTGTCATGTTTTCTCTTGTAGGTAAGGATGCTTTAGTCAAATCTAGAGCTGGGACAGGAAAAACCACCGCTTTTCTGGTATACAATTGTTATCTCTTTCTTTTGGGGTTATATAGTTCTCTTTTTATACAATGCTTTACTGCAGTGTCCTTGTTAAATAAAAACAGCTTCCTGCAATTGAAACAGTTTTGAAAGCTATGCATAGTGACAAAGCTAAGCGTGTGCCTCCTATATATGTTCTTATTCTTTGCCCTACGAGAGAACTTGCTAGTCAGATTGCTGCAGAAACAAGGGTTTTGCTGAAGAATCATGACGGTTTGGGTGTCCAAATGCTAGTTGGTGGTACACGTTTCAAAGATGACCAGAAACGCCTGGAATTGGATCCTTGCCAGGTGCATCATTTGGTCTAATTTGTTTTTTTTTTCTTTTTTTGGTAGCAGATATATAACAGGCCAATAAGATAACTTTAAAGCCATTCTATTGTTCTGTAGTGTGTCAAGCAAGTCTTCTTTGCATATTCCTCTGACAATTTTTACTGACTTTCCAAACTTAAACCTTGCAGATTTTGGTTGCTACTCCTGGTAGATTACTTGATCACATTGAGACCAAATCAGGCTTGTCTACAAGATTAATGGGACTTAAAATGCTTGTACTAGACGAAGCTGATCATCTGCTAAATCTTGGGTTTCGCAAGGACATGGAGAAAATTGTTGATTGTTTACCTCGTCGACGACAGTCTCTGTTGTTTTCTGCAACAGTGCCAAAAGAGGTGGTTTTTTTTTTTATTGCTCCTTCTTATACCAGTGTTTTGGTTTAAAATAACAATTAATAAAACAAGGTGTTCATAGCTTTTTTTGTTTGCACAACTGCCGGTCTTGATAATATCTTTATTTTCAGGTCCGTCGAATTTCTCAGCTTGTTCTTAAACGGGAGCATGCTTTTATCAACACTGTGGATGCAGGTAGTCCAGATTCCAGTTCTAAGGTACTTTGCTGGCACTTTGATATAAATATATTCAATGAACTGCTCGTTTGTGATAGCAACTGTGTATGCTAAGTCATCGTTCTCCACTCAGATGATGTGCTTATTTATCATTTTGTTGTACTTTATAATTTAAACTGCTGAAAGTGTGGGAAAGCTTTTCTTGGAAAATTTTTGGTTTGATATTGTGTTCTTTTGCAAAGGCTTTACTTAAACCTTATTGCACAGCATCCTAGTTTCATTAGGTTTTGCTCAAAATTGTGTCAGAGACTCCAAGTTGAAAGTTTGCATGTTAGTCACTTTTACACCTAGGGGAAAGGAAATGAGAACCCCTGAATTCTAATTTTTTTGGTCGGGAAGGGGAGATTTTTTCTTCCACTAATGTTTGGCTGGCCTACAGAATTTAAATCCCCACCTCACTTACTCATCCTTGATGTTTGCCCTCTTACAAGTATACCGCAATAACTATATTCTCATTGTTTTCACCACATCGTGTCCTTGACCTCTCCTAAACTGTGCACGGATGCATCCATGTGTATTGTGTAGGATTGGCTCCTTTCAATACTGGATTAGAAATTGATGTTTCTTTTCCATGAATGCCTGTATACAACCTAGTGGAGGGATTGTTTGACAGCTGAGGTTTATTGCTATCTTTCATTGGTGCACCATAATTTCATTTGAAGCCAACATGCATGTGATTAAATTAGTTTATTGCTATCTTCTCAATTTTTGAAGTTAATGCCAATTGGTTTGATTGAGTATTAATATGATAAACATCATTGTGCTATTTTTAAAATTGAGCAATTGCTGTAAGGGAACTAGGGAAGGGTTTATCTATTTATTATAGATGAGTGCTTTATGTAGGTGAAGCAGACTTATATAATAGCTCCCCATGATGTGCATTTTCATGTAGTATACCAACTTTTGAAGGACCATATTGCAGAAATGCCAGACTACAAGGTAAGGAGGTGTTCTGCTTTTCTGAATTTGATCAGTACACTGTACATATGCAACCTGTTTCTGATGTGTGATGGAGTGCTGAACTTGCTTCCAGGTTATCGTTTTCTGTACGACTGGAATGGTGACTTCACTTATGTACCTTCTCTTCCGTGAAATGCGTTTAAATGTTAGGGAATTGCATTCAAGAAAGCCTCAACTTTACCGAACTCGTACAGTTGAAGAGTTTAAACAATCAAAACGTCTGATTTTAATTTCATCTGATGTATCTGCTAGAGGAATAAACTATCCTGATGTTACTTTGGTTATTCAGGTATATTGTATATAGCCACTTCTATTCTTTTTAAAGTTTCATATAAGCTTTTTTTATAGATTTAGTCTATTGACTAATGACCAAAATATAACGTGCACTAAGGCAATATGGATTTTTCTGTGCTTTATAGTGTGCGTCTGCTCCACCTCTTTAAAATTGCCTCACCTCAATTTACTAAATATAAAAATCGATTATTGCTATACTATATAATAAGCAGTCCTTTCTGCCCTCTATGAAATTACCTCTTTGGAAATCTCAACCTTAACCCAATATTTCCAGGTTAGGCTCAATTTAAGCTACCAAGTCGGGTCAGCTTAGGAACTCAACATGTATCTTGACCTTGTCAGAATCTGGAATCTTTGACCAGTTTAGACTAGTAAAATGCCTTCTCCGAAATATGGTTGATAAAATTAGCATGTACTTTTGGGCAGATAGGCCTTTGAGTAGATTATTATTTTGTATCCCAACTTTGCAACTATTATATATGAAGATGTGGATATTTCCAGGTTGGATCTCCCTCTGATAGGGAGCAATATGTACATCGCCTTGGGAGGACTGGTCGTGAAGGAAAAGATGGTGAAGGCATTTTGCTGCTTGCTCCATGGGAAGAATATTTCTTGGAAGACATAAAGGACTTGCCTGTTGAAAGGTCTTCTGCACCACATGTTGACCAATATGCAAGATCAAAGGTTTTATTTCTTTCTTGTAGTATTCTGCTGCAATACATAAATACTACTATTAAGCTTTGACCAAGAGGTAAATACATATGTGGAAAATAATTCTCTGGTTTATGAATTCTGGTATTCTGCATATTCATGTTGACTCTCTGCTGTTCTTGATTGGATTAAGATGGAGAACTTATTAAACTTACGCTCTTGATTAGGAGTTTTACTTCCTCAGAATACTCTTAATCTGAGTACGGAGTATTACATATGTGGAAAATAATTCTCTGGTTTATGAATTCTGGGCATATTCATGTTGACCCTCTGCTGTTCCTAATAGGATTAAGATAGAGAACTTATTAAACTTACGCTCTTGATTAGGATTTTGACTTCCTCAGAGCATTCCCAACAATGAGCAAAAATTGGTTTCCTCATTCTCTCTCTACCCACTTTCTCTCTTTTTCAACCCATGAGCATTTTTGTGATCATATTTTTATCCCACCAATGATCAAAAAAAAAATTCTTCCCCATTCTCTCTCTAGTACATCTTCTCTTACTTTTACTAATACCCTCTTATATTTCTCTCTACTATATTATTTTTAATTCTTTTTTTACTTGCATTGTGGACCCCACATGATTACTATTCATCTTTAAAAATGCTCATCCTATGAGCAATTTTCATTTTGCTCATGAGCATTTTTCAATATGCTCATTGATGGGGAACATCTTCTACCATTTTTGCTCATCAGCAAAAAAAAATGCTCATTGATGGGATGCTCTCAGAATACTCTTAATCTGAGTAACCACACAATAATTTAGTTCATTCCCGTATTAAATACTACGTATAAAGGTTTGTGGATCACTTCTAAATTTCGCAAGCAATTATACTCAAATTATTATTCTCAATTTCTCATATAATTCAACTCCACAATTTATTGCAAGAAGCCCTTATACAAGTTGATTAGACTAACAGTATAGAAACTTTATAGTAATAAAAGTAATAATAAAATATTAGTTAGGAAATTTATCAAAAAAATGCCTTACTAGTCAAGTAGTCAAACTAGTCACTCTTTTTGTGAACTAGTACCCTTTTTTTTAAAAATAAATTTTTAATTTGGGGGGGGGGGGGGGGGGGTGAAATAATTAGCTTGTTGTGGGCCTTGTGGCGTTGAATTTGTGGGAGTGGATTCTGAAAAATATTGTCCATTCCTTGTTTGGGGAATTGATAGGAATAGGTTTAAGAATTTACAAGTGCAAACCCCCCCCCCTCCCCCCCTTTTGTGTTGTTGCTATTCCATTTTCCAGCCTCTCACCCTCTTCACACACGCTGAGTCATGGTTCTTTTGCTGAATTTTTTTTTTTTTTTTAAATTTATTAACCAAAACAAATGGAACATGTATTGTAAGCTTGACTTTTTTTCCGTAGAATTCGGTGATGAGGTCTTAACTTAATAATACGTCTATTCAGGTGCTATTAGCAAAATACAAGATACTAGCTCATAAAGTCATAAATAGGAGTAAAAAAAACAAGGTAATTTTCAACATATATCTTCCCAATAATATGTATGATTCTAAATAACCTATCCCATACTCATGAGCCCACAATATAATTATGCTAATCAGTCCATAGAATATACCATTTTCCATTTTCACTTGTTTAACCAGATCCAACCATCAATAGTAACAAAGATAAACATAATATGAACTTGTTTGAGTCTCTTTGCCTTATGTTGTGTGTGGTGCTTGCTACTGCATATATACATATAAAACCTATATACAAGGAGGGAGGTGGGGCACTAGGCTAGATGAAGGCAATATTGTCATGAAGTGAATAGAAGGTTATTGACTTTATTGTTATATCCAAGTAGTGTATGTTTCTGGGCCAAATATAATGCAAAAATATGGTTCCTAAAGCCATTTTGAAAGAAATCATTTGTGGAGAAAAAGGACTGAGTGCCTTGTTATAAAGAAGGGGAATGTAAACAGGAAACTTCCTATGGAAAACTGAAAGTGCTTAAAAAAATAGAGGAAGAAAGAGAGTCACATATAATACAAGCGTTATTTCCTTGTGGATTAGGTGGTCCTTTATTTGCTATCATTTTTTTGGTGAGGCCTGTGTTAAAAATTCGGTTTTAAAGTCAAGAATAATCTTGAAGTCTTGATCCTGAAGGAGAGGGGGAATAAGAAAAAAGAAAGATGGGTAATACAATTCTCACTCGGGTTTCGTTCACATCGGTTTTACATCATTTTTGGAATCGAATTATTACTACAATTCTCATTTGGGTATTTTTCACATTGGTTTTTCATTATTCTTTTGGATATGAAATAGTACTACAATTCTCATTTGGGTTATTTTCATCTTGCAGATGGTGGATTCAATGGCAAAGATTGATACTAGTGTGAAAGAAGCTGCGTACCATGCTTGGCTTGGTTACTATAATTCTCTTAGGGAAACAGGCAGGGATAAGACCTCACTCGTGAATTGGGCAAACCAATTTTGCGAGTCAATTGGGTTGGAGAAACCTCCTGTACTTTTCAGAAAAACAGTTGTAAAAATGGGTTTGAAAGATATTCCTGGAATTCGTGTAAGGAAATAGCACACTTCAATGTTCAGAGTACTTGGATAACCTTGCTTCAGTTTTTTAAAGCCTGGAAGTGCTGTCAAAGAAATTCAATACAACTAGGGAACTGAAGAAGCCAAATTCCTCAGCCTGATAGTTGGCCGGGGGAGGCACGTAAGCAAGAAGGAAGCTGAGCTTAATGCAAATGGCTAAAATCTCCCATGCTGCAATTGAAGTGGAAATTAACCTTATCCTCAAACTAAAGAAAGAAGACAGCGGCAACGGTTTTGATTGTATGCACAACTCTATGACAGGAAGATGAAATATGCCACTTTTAGGCCCTTTTACCAGTTTAGGTCCCTTTAGGAGCTCTGAATGGAGACATTTTTTTTGTAAGTTCAGCAGTTAATACGGAATAGCTAGTTGTACATTCTTCAGTTGATTGCTCAGTTAAAATGTCATATGCTCATACTCATCTGATCTCTTGTAACTGTTGCATTATGTCTAATTGTCTATGTCAAATGTGTTGCTCTTGCCCATCTCTGAGATTTCAATATCAAGTTATCAGATTAATTTCGCTTTCCCCCTTCTTTATTCGGATTATCCAAATTCCAATATTACCCTTTTTGGGCATCAAAGACGGTTGTAACAAAGTCTTATTGTAATGTATTGTACACATTGGCACTAAACCAATAAATTTCTCCTCATTTGTCCATTTTTGGTTTTGTTCATTAGTAAATTTTCCTGTGACATTAGTATGGCATGCTTTGTGTAGCATTAAAAAAAATGCCGTGGTTGCACTACAATCACTATACATAGTCTATAAATATACAAAGGCTAGGACTTGTTTTATTTACATAAGGGTAGCTATTGCATTGACATAATAACTCTCTTTTGTTCAGTAATCAGTGTGTTAGTTGATTTTGTTTCTTTTTGCAATTTGTCATCAATTGTGCTAATGGACCCGCGCTAGACTATGGTCTATGGAGACAGAGATTTAATTAAGTCATCCAAATCCTTAAAAATGATACGAAGTACTTGTATTACTTAAATTAGGTATGAAAAAAGAATATTGATTTTAAATATTCAAATATGAAAATTTTTCATAAACAACATTTCAAGCTTTAGATTAGCTAGCTCAATGACCAGTTGAAAATTCGCCTCTTTAAAAATAAAACATAAAAAACTAGCTGAAAATTCTCTCTCTTTCTTACTTTGTTTTTTTCTTTTTTTTTTCTTTTTTTTTTTTGACAAGCTAGTCGAAAATTCTTACTTGCACCCGATGTATCAAGGGGTGGGTTGCCCTAAAATTATGTTTTCTTTTGCTTATATGATGATTTTGTTCATTTAAAAAACATCAAATGAAAAAAAAACCCTTAAGCGCACCTATTTATGTACACTAGGTTGGATATTAATATTTTTTATGGTATATTTTTATATCCATATGTGGATGTAATTTAATTAATTAATGCCTATTCTTGACAATTCTTCACATAATCACATTAATTGCCAAGTAATAATGCATGAAATAATTGTGGTATTAATTAACAAACTAGTTCAAATTAGTAGTAGACTTAATCAAATAATCACGCGGTTTAAAAGGACAAAGGTTGATCCGACATACATAATTAAACAAGAGATACGTGCTTGAATTTCAATATTTGACTAGTTTACTTTGGTTGGTTAAATATTTCCTTATTTTATTTTGGCTTCATTCAAATTGCTTAAACTTGCAAGACTTAAACTCTTATGATTTGATAATCATACCTGTATTTAATTGAAAGTCTAATCTTAATTACGATAACTAGAAATTAATTAAGAATACCATTTGACTTTTTTCATTGGTGACGCAAAAGAAAATGCATGAAAACATGCTTCATATTTTGTTAGCTTATGTTTTAAGATATTGTATTCTAGTCTTGAGCTTGAAATCTGTCATTTTTTTAATAAACTTATTTTTGTATCTTCCATTATAATTGGGAATCATTATTAACCTAATACGAAGTATGTAGTATATTATATATTATGAAAATGTTATTTGATTAAATTATTCGTTTATGTTAGAGTGTAAGACCATAATAGTTTAAGATATTGTCAAAAAAAAGAGAGAAAAAAGGGGTAAACCGTATTCCACATATGATAAATTTCTAAAACAATATGAAATGGGTCTGGGCTACCCGAACAAGGAGGAGGAGAGTTTGGTCCACAAACAAGGCTTTGGAGCTTCCATACTAAAACCAATTGACAATAATAGGAGTAACTCGTCTACCTTATAAAGTGGAACTACCTCTCCTCTTTCTCCAATGTGGGACACTCACAAGTGGGGTACAATGGGTTTCAACAACATATGTTCCCACCAATGTATTATGCTCTCAAGAAATGGAGTACACAAGGGTGTACGGGAGAAAATAATTCTCTTTCAAACAATTAAGTATCGATAAAATTTTATGGTCATATTTTGCTATTGGCAACCCTAAAGTAATTACTAAATTCGTGTTAAAATTATAATTACGATATCATCACATATTACTAGCAATAATTATAATTATTGCTAATATAAAATTTACATTTATAAAAAAATGACAATATTAATTAGATGATAAAAGTGAAATAAAATTATTCACGGAATATTTCTTCTACGATAGCTACCATAAAAGCTAGTAAAGAAGTTGATCCAACTTAACTAAGACTCTTGTATGTATTTACATCAGTATTGGTAAGGACTAGGGAGCATCCCAAGCCCGTCAACTTGGACTCAGGTATCGAGTACTCGAGTACACTAATAACTCAGAGTCTAGTAAGCTCTAGATCCGATTTACCTATAATAATAACAATTCTCTCTCCTATCTACATTCACACACATGTGAACTTAAGGAGCCAAAAACAATGAAAATTTGGCATGAATAGTCGATAGACATGTTTTGCCAACCGCATGAAGATTGTTCCCAAACTATGAAACTTATAAAATGGTAAGCACCGGCTTTTCCTTACCTTTATTATCCGTCAAAAACCAAATCTATAAACTATGATGAAAACTTTGAAGAAGATGTGAGCACTAACATGAACATGATGGGAAAACACTAAGAAAAAGAAGTATATAAAAACTTATTACAAGTGGTATTGTCAACGATTAATACGCCGTCTGTTCAGTCTATTTAGACGGCAAATACATGTGATACGGCATGGTACAACGACATGTTACTACTCTGCCACGTGTCGGCATAACGTGCCACCTAATCGATATTAATTACGTTGATTAATTAATTAATTAATCTTACTCCTATTAATTATGTCAAGAGTCAACTCTTGGTTCTCAGTTTGACTAATGGGTTGTTCTTGTTTACATTAACACTCTAATGATGTGAAAAGACGGTGTTACCCTTTGCCGATGTATAATGAGAATTGATTTGGTGACATGGGGATGGGTAGTTTTGTAATTTTAGACCTGTATTAATTGAATTTTGGCTCCTATCTTCTGTAACAGGAAGTCTCATGTCACATACTACATTATAAACCTTTTATAACCACCTCTTTTTAGCAAACTCTTTAAAAACTCAAACCAACTTCTTTTGCACTTCATCATATCTTTTCCAGGCTAACTCAAACCACAACAACTTTCATGGGACTTCATACAACTACAAGGATACCAATCCTAGTCTTCATCATCTTTCTCTCCTTCCATCTTTCGAGTTGCCGGCGAATACGGAAGGATCAGAGCAATGAACAACCACAGACACAGCAGCCAAGCTCTGAAGCTTCATGGCAGTTCCTTACAAATGCTCCCAAGGGATCCAACAGCAACGAACAGGTTTATTGGGATTCATTTCGAACCGTTCCAGGTGGTCCGAATCCCCTCCATAATTGATCAGCTCTAGCTATATCAAGAAGTTAGCTGTTTAGATATACTTTTTTTTTTTCCCTCTCTTATTTCATAGATAGTTCAGTAGCATGGATTTTGTTTTATTCTTTATTTCTGTATACATCCATATATATAGTGTATTGTATTTATTACAAGCTTATACTGTACTACATTAAAAGGATTTTGGATTTTTTGTATCCTACAGAAATCTGCTGCAAAGTTGTCCTGTGTATAATATTTCTCTATAGTTATATTTTAATTTAATTTTTCAAATCAATCATTTATAGCTCAAAAAGTTATGAGAATACATTTATAATAAAATATCTGTTGTTTTTTTCCTTATGATTTACCAATTCCTTTTAGAATATAAGTTTTATGAGGGAATGGGGAGAGGAAGTGGAGGTGCTGATAATGTAATAGTGACAAATATAATACTAAAATATTTATATGTAGGATGATGAAGATACAAGAGATGGACAACTTCAGTGAGTTCTTTACATAAAAAAAAAATAAATAAATAAATAAAAAAAAATAAAATAAAAAATAAAAAAATTGGAGGTAGTGTGCAGAAAGTCAGGTTTTTAAGCACACCAACATGATATATAACTGAATTTTTCAGTTAATGATCAAGGGAGAGGGGCCGCCTTTTAGTATACCAACATTTCCTGCATTCAATAACATAGTTGGCAGAACCGTTGAAGCATTACTATATTACTTTAAAAACGGCCTGGTTCTGGACCGTATGTGGGGAATCCTCACACCGGTTTTGGTCTACGGTTTTGAGTGGGGGTGGGAGATGCGGGGGGGGGGGGGGGTTCTGGGGAATAGGAAACTGGAGATCCCTCTTCCAAGAGCCCGAGGGGAGTAAGACTTGACCTCAAAGTCACAAGTTCAACTACGTACCATAGTCAGTAGAAGCGTTACTGTCTAACCTCTAGTTGCAGGGTCAAGCATATTAGCAGAAAAATAAAAGGATGACTCAGTGATATAGACATCTTTACGACATAAATGGTTTCTTTTCATTTATTGGTACATGTAAATATATGTAGGCTCAATTTACAAAATTTTCAAAAGTAAAAGATATAGTATTAAACTATAAATGGATGTAATCAAAGTTTGCACATTGAATTAGTCATATACTATTATACTCAATAAAGATAACTAAAAAAAGGTAAAAAGAGGGAATAAAAGAAAAGTCGCTAAGATCTAATTGTCTAAGGCTGAGTATTTTTTATGAATGGAAATCACTGCGTTATACTCCGTAAGCTTACAATTAAATTCTTTTCCTAGTTTCAAACAAACAGTAAACCAGATTGTGACTGAAAAGATAGCCATTTAATCAAATAGTGTAACAGGACTAGGACCCCAGTTTAAAAAGCCTAATTCCTGTGTATTATACCCACCAAAGACAGCAACTTATTTCATATTCCCTTTTTTCCAATTACGAAACTTCAAAAGAGACTGATTAGAATGTACTTAACTATTATTCACCGGGTATCTTTCCAAATTCGGCAATGAAGTAGGTTAAACATCATCACTCTAATGAAGAAAAAACCTGCAAAAATTCAACACGTAGCTATTCAGAGCCAACCAATCACGAATATGAAGCTCCAGATAATAAGTCAGTAGTCATTTAAGCAAAAGATAAGATTTCCAGCTTACGTAGGCCAGAGAGACACATCAGAATGAGGAAAATATTTTTTCAAATCTTCGAATCATACTGAAAAGACACAAGTGAAAGTGTCAAGATGTGGGCTATGGAGAACCGCCTGAAGCCATGAACACTAGAGAAAAATAAATAAAAGAACTGGTTTCAAGTGAATATATTGATAACTGATCAGATATATGAAGTTG